GGCCCAAAGTGCCATCCTCAGAAACACAGACTCTTGCCTACATGCTGTCAGCTGGGCAATGACAACAGATGTGTCTGCCTTTGAGGTAGTTGTGTGATGGACTAGCGGGGGATGAAACACCTGCAAAGAAACCAGGCAGAAGGGAAACTGTGATCCAGGATACAGGAGCACAAAGGAGTGCAGCAATGGAATTGATTAGATGTGGATGGGAATACGGGTTAAGGGTTCAAGGTGACCCCAGGTTTCTGGGTGACAGAATGGACAATAATGTCTGGGGGTAGGATTGGCTGTGCACACGGTGCATAAGCCAGAGAAGGGAGAGGGAGAAGGACACGTTTAGATGTGAGGGTTATCCAGCTGTATCAGCCACCATGCACATTTCTGTTCTACCTGGATCTACTCAAGCTGCACAGCTATATTCTCAAACAGAACAACTTCTTGACGGGGAGTGGGGGTGCATCTTTAGTCACAGATTTGGGGGTGATGTATTCATCTACTCTGATGCAGGTGAAGGAGACAGATGGGGTCTAAGGGAGATTATACATCCCTGCGACATGATTCCTATAAAGCTCACCAGGAGACAGAACATCTGGTAAAGCTGGGTAACAGCATTATCAGATGACACCATGGCAGTGTATAAAATCAACCAAAGATACCATGGAGAGTAAAATAAACTGTAGGACCAGAAAATTGTGGGATAGGGACTTCCCTGGTGGCGCAGTGGTTAAGAATCCGCCTGCCAATGCAGGGGACATGGGTTCGAGCCCTGGTCCAGGAAGATCCCACATGCCGCGGAGCAACTAAGCCCGTGCACCACAACTACTGAGCCTGTGCTCTAGAGCCCGCGAGCCACAACTACTGAAGCCCACGTGCCACAGCTCCTGAAGCCCGCGCGCCAAGAGCCCGTGCTCCACAACAAGAGAAGCCACCACAATGAGAAGCCCGCACACCACAACGAAGAGCAGCACCTGCTCGCCGCAACTAGAAAAAGCCCGTGTGCAGCAAGAGACCTGGCGCAGCCAAAAATAAATTAATTAATTTTAAAAAATCATGGGGATCCAAAAGGGAAAAAAATTGTGGGATAAATTAGTATCTAGGAAGAAAACAGAGGAGAAAAGGAAGCCCAAAAAGGAAGCAGAGAAAGATCCACCAGAGAATGAGAAGATCTACAGACAGATCTGTAGAAGAGCTGTAGAGATGTATATCAGAAGCCAGAAGGGAGAATTTCAAGGAAGGGAGGATTAACAGAGTTCAGATGAATTAGGGATTCTAGTGCCCTGACTGGCTAGATGAAGGTTCACTAAAGCGGGAACAGCAGACAAATTCCACAATAGGGCTGAAAAGTTTGGAGGCGAGAAGAGCAGTGAAAGGGCAGAGCTAGAAGAGGTGGTAGGATCAAATGGGGACCTGGGCGTGTCTGTGGGCGTGAAGCAGGGCAGGGGTGGGCTCAACAGCTCGGAGGGACGGACCAGACTTGCAGGCAGGAAGCCCGCAGCAGCAAGGTCACTGCCCCCTGTGCCCTGCCGCCTCCGATGTCACAAGTCCTCCGACCCTCATCCTCTGCCCCCCTGTCCCACCCACATAACCCAGGGCAGGCTCCCCGTTCCAAGGTGCTCAGCTGAATCACATCTACACGGTTCCTGTTGCCAATAAGCTGATACAGCCACAGCTTCTGGCAGTTAGGACTCAGATGCTTTTTGAGAGCTGCTATTCTGCCAACCACCAGGGCGGAGATGCCCTGAAAGAAGCTTCCAGCACCAGCAAGAAGGCTATGGAAGTTACCATCTGAGGCACAGAGGTTCCATGCACAGCTCTGATCACAACCATCCACATTCTGGGCCCTGACAACCTTTCAACCTTCAATCCTACTGCACTTGCCCCATGTTCTCTAAGCCTCATTCACATGCCACCTTTTCCAAAAGCCTTCCCATCGTCCCAGAGAAAATCCCTGGGACCTTTTGCCCATGCTCCTAGCACTTCAACGCCCGGCTCATTTGTCCACCTCCCTGTAAGATGAAGAACCACTTGAGAACTGGGATAACCTCACTCTAAAACCTGGAAAGAGGCCAGCACAGTGCTTTGTATTTGTTCACTCCGGCACTTGTCAAACACTTGGCGATAACCTGTGGTTTGTACAGATATCTGCCCTCAGGGCAGGCAATGGAGACTAGAAGACCCAGTGCTTGAGGACCAGCGCCCAGGGACCGGGAGACCTTCTCGGGGATAGCGTTTCGCTTGGGCATATGGAGTGTGTAATTCTTAATAAAAGAGAACAGATCTCTTAAGGTTCTGAATAAGTTCACTGGTATTTGGCATCTGTGAAGGACAAGGGATCGTCAGCAAAAGGACCCAGCAGCAGAGACAGCAAAGCCATACTCCGCAAAGATTGTGCATCTGTGAAAACTCAACAAACGGACACTCTCAGGTTGTGCATTTCATTTTATGTAAATTTCACATCAAAAGCATAAGCGAAACAAACATTAAATTCTGGTTAACAATGCACATGCATTCAGAAGTATTTCAGGAAAGCATACTGATGGCTGCAATTTACTTTGAAATGCATCCCAAAAAAGAGGGACTGATGAAGAAAGGGGCAGACAGATATATGTTCAAATTAGTATAGTAAAATGTTAATGGTAGAGTCTAGGAGGGGAGGTTACAAGTATTCACTGTAAACTTCTTTCAGCTTAGCTGTATGTTCAAACTTTTTCATAATAAAATATTGACCAGAAAAGGTAAGGATGAGACAGCAGAAAGGTATTGTGTGGAAAGAGGAAAAAATTATGCTCCTGGTGTCGGTTCTAAGCCAGAGATGCATATACAGCCGGTGACACACCAGTCCTGACCTTGCTTCAGAGCCAGAAGATTTAAGACCCTGGCTGATCTGAGTCATGCTATAAGGAAAACTACAAGTGAAAGTCTACTGTAAGCAAAATGGAGATATCACACTATGAAACTTCTTTTTCCTTAAAACAAAAATTTTTTTAAACTAAAATGTTTTTTAAATTATATGCTACTAAGCTTTCAGTGCTTGAATTATGTGATGAAAACCAAGGGAACTCATTATTTCTAGGAGTATTTTTCCTTTAACAGAAACATTTTCTCATCTAATTAAAAGGAAAAGGAAAGAGTCACTTTCATAACATTTTTAAGAAGATGGAGACATAAAAGAAAGAACAAATTGCATGGGGTTCTTTAAAAAAACAATCCCAATAATATTTTCTTGACAAGTGCATTTAATCCATAAACAGAACTGCTCTCATTCCTACTCATCCTTTATTCTTATTTATGACTAGGATTATTTTAAAGTTTTCTCTTATTATTCAGATACATTTCTAGTTAAAATTACTAGGTATCTTCTTCCTGTTGTGAACAGACTTTCTTCTACAAAGGTATTTGCAAATTTGTTACTGAGGACAGTTAAGCAATCTGTTAATATATATGCTCTTTCCATCCCTTTACTAAACTCATTGCTATTAACTAAATCTCTTGTACATGCTGGCGATGCAGTTAATTAATAAGATACTTTGTCATCTCTTTTCCAGAAGGTACACCTTGTATCTATGTAAATACTATTTATATCTTGTCCTAAATAAAAGTTTGCGATGTTTATATAAAATACTGATAAGCAGACTTACTCATTTAACTTATGATATATATATCAAATACTGGCCCTGTGACTGGCACATGCTAAGAGCTCAAGAAATATGTGTTGAGAGAGGGAATGAAAGAACAAATGAACAATTTTCAAGAAGGGCAGGAATGTGTGCCATCCACTGTCCAGGAGGCTTTGCAAGACAGAGGGACAATTTTAATGAAACAAGAGAAGAGGAGATTAGTTAGGTCACCGAAGAAAATTACTGCAGCGTTGAGGTAGTTTAAAAAGGGGCAGGAAGGGGTTGTGCTACTTATGTCCCAGGTTAACTTTAGTCAACACTGGTAAGGTGACTAATATGTTTTAGCTAGCACTGTGGATGACAACCTGTCTTCCCTTTTACTTCTTATTTTTTTCTTTAACAGTATATTCTGTATATGAAGTAAAGGTAGAACTTAAATTCTTCACCTTCTCCATATACTTTGGGTGGGATCTAGGTAATTTTGATGTCAACCTCATCTTTCACATTCATACCAGGTGTTTATGTACAAATTTGATTCGTTTAACTGTCAAAAGAAAATAAAAATATAATAATTATGAGCTATCTCTGAAAAGTAAAACTGGTTAAACACACACACACCCTCAATTAATCTATTTGATTAAAAAAGAAAACCCAACAACTGATGATCAGGAAGCCAGGAGCTAGAGATGCCGAACCTGCTGGACCTTAAACACTGAAAATACTGATAACACAGGGAATTCTGAGGAAAATAACTGCCAAAATAAGTCTCAATAAGTAAAAAGTTTTTTTAATGCATATTTTTAGACTGGAGCCAGAAGTAGAAATCGATCCAGCCCTTTTTGCCACCAAACTTCTTAAAAGTATACCCACTTCATCAATGTCTGCAGCATATAACTTCTATAATATCCACGAATAGAATCCAGAAGTATATATTTTTTAAAACCAGTATAACCACGTTGGATGTCTTTTAGGAACGTTAGGACATTTACTGTAAAGAAATTTCCTACTCTAACGAAAAAGAGCATGATCACGTTTAGCAGATGCTGGAAAGGCCATATGCAAAGTTTTAAACATCTGGCCCCAGTTGGGAAGGGAAAAAAAAACAGGAACAGAAGAAATCTTATTTTGCATCGCTGAGAATATGTGGTTCAAACTCCCCACCACCGCCCGGCGCGTACGGACGTCAGTGTCCCATCCCACCAACGCGAAGGCGAGCGAATCCAAGTGGCAGCGGGGATCACTCAGGCCGGGACACCACAGGGAAGAAAAACCATTTGTTGGTGAAAACCGTCCGCCTCGGCGAGGAGACGACGAAACGGCGGCGCCGCCTCCCGCTAGGAAGAAACCACATCCAGCCCTCTCGCGTGTACCTGCGATCGGCACCTGCAGGCGCAGCACCGGGAGCGTCGCCGGCGGGGCGGCACCGTCACAAAGGCAGCGGCTCGGCGAGCGCGCCCACATCCGGGCCTCCGCGTCCCGCGCGGGTCCGCAGGGCGGGCGGCGGCAGCTCGGTCCCCGCCCGGCCTCCTGCGCCCAACCGGCCCCCACAGCCCACGCCGCGCCCCGGACCCTCGCGCACGCGCACGCGCTCCACGTCCACTCACGACCCGCCGAGAAGCGCAGCCGGACGCAAAGCCCAGAATCGCTCCGGCGCGGAGGCTCCTGGGAAGTGGAGTCCCGGCCCTGGCTCCGCGGGCCTGGGGAGCGCGCGGCTTTGCTCTTCGCCTCCCAGCTGAGGGCCCTCGGCGCCACCGCCTGCTCCGCGCGCTCTCTCCTCCCTTCCCGCTGCAGCCCGGTCGTTCCCACGCGAGAGGCAGGCACCCCGAGGACAGGTGAGCGCGCAGGCGCGCGGACGTTGAGGAGACGCGGGAGGGGGGAGGGCGAGGGGAGCGTGCACCCGAGCGGTGGGTCCTCCTCGGAGTTCTCCCCAGCCGGGGATGGGGGTTAGCGGGCGGGGGCGGGGGCGGGAGGCTGTGTTCCTGGGGCGTGGGTTCCCTGGGGCGGAGCGGGCGCCGGGGGGTGAGCAGGCCAGGCGCAGGTAGGGAATCTGACTCTACCCCGTGAGTGAGAGGAGGAGGGATGTCCTGCTTGTACGTCTTACTTTACCCAGGACCTGTTCTTGCATCTGTCTTAACCCCGGTCAATTGAAAAAAAAAAAGCACAACCCAGAAGTTGACGATTCCATTACGTTGTGCGTACTTTCTGAGGCCGTAGCCCGGGCTCAGCCTCTCCCAGAGCTCTGAGGGACCGCTCCCCAGAGGTAAAGGGGGAGCAGGGTATACAGGAGGCTTGTAACAGAAGCCAGGTAATCAGAACCTCGGAAGATTTCTGTCAATTAAAGAGAACCAAACACCTCAATTTAATGACCTTAGCACTTTTCTGTGTGTGGGAAGATGCAAGAGTCTGGGCTCATTGAAGTCATTCCTTTGATAAGGATCTTAACTCTCCTGGGCCAGTATCCTGCCTGTCTCCACCCTGAATCCCCTCAGGGTGTAGTCAGGAAGGCTGCGGTGGCTGATGACTTGAAGGCTGCAAACATCCTTTGTTTGCTGATGTGGCAGGTAACATTCTTCTTCCACCGTGCCTCCTCTTGGTCATAAATTTGGCTAATATTTGGGAGGCATTTCATTACAAGTTTTTGGTTTTGGGGTTTTTTTTGGCTGCGCTGCAGCATACGGGATCTTAGTTCCCCAACCAGGGATTGAACCCTTGCCCTATGCAGTGGAAGCGCGGAGTCTTAACCACTGGACCACCAGGGAAGCGCCCATGACCAGTTTTGTCCCATGGCACTAGGAAGGCTCATTCCTAGATCAGGCAAAGTTTCTGTTGACAGGCCATACGATGCGCTGGGTTTTTTGTGTTTGTTTTTTGTTTGTTTGTTGGATTAGGCCCTGTTGAGAATCTAAAATTCTCTGGATCGCTTGTCTTACTAGTTTATATGATCCAGTAGATGTTTTCCCTTGTTGCTTCTAACCGTATTTAGAGTTGTACTATTACAATTATTCTATGTAGAGTTAAGTATATGGTTAACTTCTTGGGACATCATTAATTTTGTTGGAGGCCTGCTAACACATTGGGTAATTCAAGAGCCAACAATCTTAGAAAACAGACAGAATATGACAGCTGGTAACATTAATAAAGTTATAGTGTAGCGAAGAGAGACACAAGGCATAAATAATTTGAAAACGAGAGAGAGCAAATTAAAATAATGATTAGTATAACTAGTTGTAATCTGGTCACAGTAGGCCATCAAGTCCACAGTGCAGCCAGCTGGAGAAGCCAAAATCTGGAAGGATCAGGTAGAAAGAAAAAGATAAATGTTTCATCTTTGTTTACAAAGGCGTACTGATCAACTTGTAGGGCATAGCATAGGAGGAAAGTTTTTTCTGGAAAACGAAGATTAAAAGCCAGTATATTTCATTAAAATGTCATAAAATTATGAATCATAGTTATCAGTCATTCAGTCCCATGTAATTAATTCCTGTTATTCTGGATGAAGTCATCAGGTTTTCCATTAGAGTTTTGTAATTTCTTACCCATTTCAGTGTTATGATTTAAAAGTTATACTTGTATTTGTCAAAAATCCTTTTTATGAATCTTCTTGAAGATCTTCATTTTATAAAAGCATCAGTGTAAAATAATGATTGTCTATAAATGACAAAAGACTTACAATGACATGGTCAAAGATCTGATTCCAAGGCAGTTGACAGGAAACTTGGATATTTCTGTGACATACAACATTTTAAGATAATAACTAGAATTATGACTGATAACATTATACAAGGACAGATCACATTTTTTAGGAATTCCGTATAAATTTTGGAATATCTATATTAATGACATTTATCCATACAATATAACCTAAGGTTTATCTCCAAACACTTGACAATGTTTCTCAAGTAATTTAACACACCAAATAAGACTAATTAGTTTAATATTCGTCTCTGAGATGTCTCAGGGCTCCTTTGAAGCATCCCAGAGTTGGCTGAAGGTCAAAAGAACTTTAGTTAGAATTTGATATTTGGGAAGTTTGTCAAAAATATCAAAAAGGTTTCAAAGCACTTGGTCAAATAGGATCATAGGACACTGTGAAACAATACTTATTCACTTAACCAAAGTGACAAAAGATTTCAAAAACAAATAAAGATCACTTAAAGGCAAAGAAATTCACGCAATGTGTTACCAAAAGCACTATTCCAAGAAAACTTTGTTCTCTTAACAGAGAGGAACCAAATCAAATCTTGCACCAGCCAACTTTTAATAACAAAATCCATTTACCTAATTAAATTTAATCCAATCCTAACCATGTACAAAACTACTTTTTCAGGGCTCCCTTTCTACAAACTTACAAAACTTTCTGTATCCATATTAGTTTGTCCCTTATTTTTAATCTGGAAATAGCCAGCTCTAGGACAAAAATCACCCTTATTTTCCCAACAAATTCACTTCTATTCTGCATACCTTCTTTTACTGAAAACATGCATCCTACCTTCCTTGCACATTAAAATATTTCCCTTAATATTTTTAGTAGCTTTAATTACATATTACAGTTTTAACCCTTAAAACCTTAATCTCTAGTGAAAACTGACAAGCAGCAAGTAGTTGTGAACTGTTTGTCATACCAGCATTTCCTGGTTGGCAAACTTAGGAATATTCCATAACCCCTAGTAACATACACCTTCTGACTTCTTTCTTCATTGTGGTGCAAGACGTGTGTCTAATAAACCCACACATCTTTAGTTTCCCTCTTGTAAGGGGACAAAAGGAGATAAATTTAGACCTGTTTAGCAATTAATGTTCCAGTATTTTATCTTATTTGAAATGACCTGGATGTTCAATGAATTCCCATCATTTAACTTAACTTAGCAAAACTCAAGTTACCAAAAATCTAGAGAATCTATTTTTTTTTAAAGAATTTTTTTTTGATGTGGACCATTTTAAAAATCTTTATTGAATTTGTTACAGTATTGCTTCTGATTTATGTTTTGGTTTTTTGGCCATGAGGCATGTGGGATCTTAGCTCCCGGACCAGGGATCGAACCCACACCCCCTGCATTGGAAGGTGAAGTCTTAACCACTGGACTGCCAGGGAAGTCCCTGGAGAACCTATTTTAGATAGATGTACCCAACACATAATTATTCCTAAAGAGTTCACCTGAAAACTCTTATCTCATTTACCTTTATTTTATAAGTTATGAAAATATCATCATACCAAGTTAATTTTTTGCCTACAAACTGCAACAGAAATAACGTGAACACACTGACCTTCGGTAAAGCAAGTACAATAAAAATACGACATGTCTGGGACTTCCCTCGTGGCGTAGTGGTTAAGAATCTGCCTGCCAATGAAGGGGACACAGGTTCGATCCCTGATCCGAGAAGATCCCACATACCGCAGAGCAACTAAGCTCGTGAACCACAACCACTGAGCCTGTGTGCCACAACTACTGAAGCCCGTGTGCCCTAGAGCCCACACACCGCAGCTACTGAGCCCATACGCCACAACTACTGAAGGCTGCATGCGTAGAGCCCATGCTCCACAACAAGAGAAGCCACCGCAATGAGAAGCCCGCGGACCGCAACGAACAGTAGCCCCTGCTCGCCGCAACTAGAGAAAGCCTGCGTGCAGCAATGAAGACCCAATGCAGCCAAAAATAAATAAATAAATAAATTTATTTTTTAAAAAAATTTTCTATTTCTCCTTAAGTAGGCTATGAATTAGATTTTGGGTGAGGGAGCCTTTCCAGTGGTTTGAGTTTAAAAAGGCCATTCTTCTGTTTTGTTTGTTCACTTGTTTCAGGTTTTACCTGAGTGAGCTAATTGGGCTCAGTCTCAGGTCACTGTGGGCTGTATTTACATTTCTGATTTGTAGAGATTTGCAAGACAAAGACAGCTGCTTTTAATTCTCAAAAAAACTGGTTTGTCAGTTAAACGATATTAAAAGATTGATTTGCCCAACTATATTTTCTTTAATTTGCTTTTTAATATCAGTGAGAAGATTTCCAACTAAACTGAAAATTAAGAGTTCTATGTACCAGAAGTTTAGGGTTCAGTTTATCATATCTTCAAAGGCTTGTATAAGGCATTCAACAAAGGCCCTTTTTCTGATTGCACAGATTAGACCCAGAGCAAAATCTCGGTTATTAGTTTCATTAGCCCCTGAATACTGTTCCCAGATTTTACTTTATATTGTACGGCTCTATTGGTTTCCTTTTGTATGTTGTTTTTTTTTTAAGATTTAATTTTATTTATTTTTGGCTACGTTGGGTCTTCATTGCTGTGTGCGGGCTTTCTCCAGTTGCGGTGAGTGGAGGCTACTCTTCGTTGCGGTGCGCGGGCTTCTTATCATGGTGGCTTCTCTTGCTGCGGAGCACGGGCTCTAGGCGCATGGGCTTCAATAATTGTGGCACATGAGCTCAGTAGTTGTGGCGCACAGGCTTAGTTGCTCCGCGGCATTTGGGATCTTCCTGGACCAGAGCTCGAAGCTGTGTCCCCTGCATTGGCAGGTGGATTCTTAACCACTGCGCCACTAGGGAAGCCCTCCTTTTGTATGTTTAATTAATATTTCCTGAGGGGCACATCTACATGCTTTGTCTTATAATACCAATACCAAGCAGGGGAAGCATTACTCATTGGTTACCAACATTAAAGGACTCCTATCAACAAGTCTTGGTCTTATAAGGAGTCCTAGAAACTTTCCTTTCATTTATCCCTCAACCATTTTATCTATTTTGTATAAAATGCTCTGGGATCCCCAGTGAGGGGTTGAACCAAGGGACTCAGGCCCTTTTGTCAATCTTTCAACTTGATTAATTGGCCTAACTGTTGCCCCAAGTAATTGTTGGTCAGCTATCTCAGTGTAATTTTCTTCCACCCCTTTATTTTATTTTTTTAA